CCCCATTTTATCTTTAATAGTTACTAACATTAGATATTTTAATGAGATATAGACCGCAAAACATTTTTAAAATCAAGTCACCGAATGCAAGTACTCGCCTTAGCTTATTTTGTTATGAGATGTGAATCACTGTTCAATTTAGTTGATGTAATAATCGTTTGGTTTATTTTACATTAAAAACAAGTTACAATTTTCAAAAGGTCTTGTGTTTTTTTCGGGGGCAGGCCCTTTTTCCAGTTTAGGGCAATAGCCCCTCCAAATGTCTGTGCACGTCCCTGCCCGGAAGTTAGCATCTAATGGAATCCCTTGTCCAAAAGCAATATCATTTTTCCATTGGATTTTGGAATATTGCAGAAAATAAGATCTGTGGTAAACACAGGTTTATGATACTAGCACCCTTTGACGTCTCAACACCACTTTCTAACTGTTAATGCAATTGCCAGATGTAAAAAGCGAATGTAATGCTATAAACAAACTACATGACGGTCGCGTGACTTCACTTCAACCCCGCTAAGCTAAAGGCGGCTAATGTTTGGCTATTGTTAGCTATATTTTTCAGTTAATTTGTTAGCAACCACTATTTTTAAGACACGTTACAACTATGTTCATCAGTGGGGTGTTTAATGACATATTTTATGTTGTCTAAGCTTGTATTAGCCACAGACAACATTTGGGATTCTAATCAAAAACTATTTCCAAAAAACTATGCTAAAATGCTAACTCATTTCCAGGTTTAGGACTCATTCCTGCAGTGATCTATTGCATTACATCCTCAAGCATTTTTGCTGTATCATGCCTCCAGCAGCCTCATTAGAGAGCACAGAAATCAACAACCAGTTTTAAACAGCCATCCCTCAGCATCATTAACACAGTCTCTAGGGCGTGATTAATATAGGTCATGTCCCAATAAAGGAGACATAGCAGGATAACATATAAAGTACATTTTTGCAATATTACAGTGGCTGCATGTTTCTTATGTAAAGGATGGATTCTGTGTTTTTTTGTGCGTCATGCTACGTGATACGGCATAAATCCCTTGTAATCTTCTAACACAGTAAGTGGCCGCTTGCAACTCCACCCAAAAGTGTGTTCAGTAATCATGCAGCATTAAGTATTACACAGTGATAGATGAGAAAGCACTTTAAGTAAAATTGTTTGAAAATATTTTGCAATTTCAAAAAAACGTTTAAAGAATGTACAAACTGTAGATCATACTAACAGATGTTGTGCATAGTTCACTGAAGTAAAGATTCTGCACATTATTATTTACAGTGCATCTGGAAAGTATCCATACCCCTTCACTTTTTGTATGTTACAGCCTTATTTCAATTTGGATTAAATTAATTTGTTTTCTCAACATTCTACACACAATACCCCATAATGACAAAGTGAAAAAAGTTAAGGGGTATGAATACTTTCCGGATGCACTGTATGTGGTTGATATCTGTGCAGATACAGGCAGAGTCAGCATTATGGGGAGCTACTGCCTCCTAGAGGAGGATGGAGAGAATAGGGCTATTTTACAAGCAACACCTGAAAGTTGATTCTGTGACATTTGCATGAATCATTCATTACCTTAAACAAGATTTATCTGTTGTTCCATGATTTTGTAGTTTTGTTATGGCTCCAAAAAAAGAAGCTCTGATTATATTAATTTTCATATAGCAATCTTTTTCGTTGCATATCGTGCATTTATATAAGCTTTAACGCTAGCGCTTTGAAATGTAAAACGAGAAGAGACGTTAAAGAACAAATATTTATTTTGTTTTTTTTATTGAAGTCGTCTTTTTACTTAACTACACTTTTCTTCTCACCTCTAAGGGTAATTTTTTGTGTTTAACAAAAATGTTGCATACAACTTTTGCATAATTCCATGTACAATTTTATTTTTAAGTACTATATGACTGGTGTTTTCCTCAGCCATTGTAGGTCAACCTGTCCTATTGTTATAACACGTTTACATGTGCAAATAAACTGAAAATCTAAAATGTTTCTGTATTATTTTGCACTCTGTTACGCCCAGATCTAGGGGAACCTAGGCGCAGCCTCTATGGGCGCAGCATAACATTTGCACTTTTCGCACTCCCAAGAACATGGACACCGAGACAAAGAATGCCGTTTGGTAATTTTGTTTTGTAAGGTTTTTACAAAGAGGCGCAACAACCCACAAAACAAACGAATATTTGAACACATAAATCTTGCCTAACAAATAAGAAAAATAAACGTACAGGCTTCTTACCTACTCTGGCGTATAAACAGGAGAAAACGAGAATCAACCAAAAGAAAAGGGTTTCACACTTTCACATAAATTAAAGTGTGTCCAACAACGAAGGCTAGTTTATATTTCTGAGGTGTCAAAACAAGCAAGAGGACCGGTGTACGCTATAAGTACACCCAGGGCCGTCCCTACTTACAGGACGATCATGCAGACTGCATGGGGCCTCACCTTGCGGATGGGGCCTCATCTTGAGGAGGGTGCCTCAACTGAGCCGAAAATGCGGCGCACCTATGCGCTTATGCGGCGCAATTAGTGTGGCGCGGCACGGTATCGCCGCTGCGAGGCTCCACTAGCACCCCCCGTCGACGCTCGCAAAACAGAGGGCTTCATCATATAACTTTGCGTGGGGCTTCATGTTGGCCAGGGACGGCCCTGAGTACACCCACAGCACAACAGGACAGATATAAACGCAACAGTGTTGGGAGTAGGAGAAGTCGAGTTAGAGAGAGGACTGCACGGCTGCAGCTTAAATGCTCCTGTCTCCTCGGGTGGACCAATCAGCAGGTTGAAGTCAGCTAACGGGCACCACCTGCTTGCTCACTCACACACAGGAGGAGGGAAAAATATCTACACACAAATGACATAACGACTCAGGGTCGTAACAGTTACATTTCTTTAAGGTCTGACCACATATAGGCTAATACGTTTTACATAACAATTATCTTTCTTGTGACATTCGGACAAAAACAATACTGCTGCAACAGTTATGGCAACACTTCAAGCAATCGCCACTAGGTGTCACTTTTAGACCATTTTACATAGTTGGACAATCTGTCTAGCTATTTAGACACATTGGGTGACAAACTACTATAACCCCCGAAGGAAAAGTTTAAATTATTGTTCTTTTCAGCCCGGCAGCAGGCGGATCAGGAGACACTTTCCAAAGCACTCACTGTGTCATACTCACCAGACCTTCAGTAAAGTATATGCATTTATGTTCTTTTATGTCCTAAGTTGACCTGTTGGATAAATTGGAAAGTTAAATGTCTGCTTCATCACAAGGGCTTCTGTCATTCTACTTTTTAATCACTGTCTTTAGGAGAAGTATGTATTGGTTGTACAGTAATGTTTCCTCCCTTGGGAACTACAGTATAGTAAATCAGGCTGTCATACTTTCAGTGTTCCCTTCCACTGACCTATTTCCAGCATTAGATTACATTTGTCATAGTTACATAACTCGCATGATACAACACATCAGTGGATAACTATAAAGTGTGGCTTTGTAAAAACGCAGGACTGTACTGTAATAAAATCATACTGAAAGTGCACTGTCTGTGAGTGGGTGTGCATAAAGTCACTGTAAAGGAAACGTAACTCCATGACAACAGGCTGCTGTGGTAGTGGAAGACGTGGGCGTACTCTGACCCCCACCGTCTAACCTCCATGGCCCTTATGGTCCTGTGGAGGTGTGTTTACCCTGAACAGCACACTGCAGACAACAATGAGCTCCAAACCATTCCCACAGTCACACATTTGAGGCATCGGCAGGCGTAGTGGCAACTTGGTATGGCACAGAAATAGCATCAGGGAGCTATATGAGGCCTTGCACTGAAACGATTGCATATTTTCATTGTAGAGCCTTGACATTTGTGTGTGTGTGTATTCCTGTTGCTTCGCTTTCCATTCCTCAGGGCTTAGTATGAAAGCCCCCCCCCCCCCAATCTTCAGGTGCATGATTGTTGTCTTTGACTTCATCCATACATTTTTAAACCAGGGTTACAAGCAGGACGTTTATTTTTGTTGTACTTTGGTTTGCCATTGGAACTTTGACCCGGTTGTGAAGGTTATGAGGCCAAAGCAAAAGTATTGTGTTATATAAAAATACTCAGCTCAAGTTCACACGTTATAAAATCTGCACTTCCTAATTCCAAATAGTTTGTTTTTGGCTGCAACTATAACTCAAATTGTCAACTCATCTTTTGTTTCTGTAAAATGTAATGTTTTGAATATATATTTCCTTAGAGAGCAAGTCGACTTCTTTAAAATGCTTGTGTTGTGCGACCAACAGACCAAAACTTAATGATATTGTGTTTTACTGTCATAGACGATAAATTAATAAGAATCAAAAAATATTTTAGAAACTTAACCCAGAAAAAGCTACTGAAAACCCTACAATTAATCATTATTTTGCTCATTCATTGTCTGTCGACTTACTAATGTTCTCATAAACTGATATACTACTATACTATACATTTCCCCACGATGTATACAATGAAATGATCTACACTTGGAACACTAAAAGTGGTAAAATAGTAGTGTTACTAGCAGGAATCAATAAACCATAAAGAAAGTAGCATACACTTTGCATATTCTTAAACAGCCCAAAAGGTTGTCAAAAATATAATAGTTTTATAGACTTAAAGAATCACAATGAATCAAAAACAGGTTTATTGCCAAGAAAGTTTACAAATACAAGGAATCTGCTTTAGTGGTGCATACATAGAAGATTGAATTAATAGAAAGGATAGATTGGAAATGAAAGCTATAGAATATAACAATAGATAAAGCCTCATAAACGTTTTGTGTTTTCATCACAAATATGTTTCACTTTAAAGCAGTGCATATAGGTTATCATTTGCTGCATTACTGTTGCACCAATAAAAAAACAACAACAGCAGATGTAATTGGCCCATTTGGCACTGTCCTTGATATTGACCAATTACGAAAGAGAATGGGCGGAGCATGAACATCGATTTTTTTTTCTTGGTTTTCCTGGTGGCAGAGGGAGGGGTATGCGCTGAGAGTGTTGTTGTCTGTCACTGCTGGGGACACACGGAGCTGCCAAGGTCGGTGAAAGTACGGCTGAGACCAACATTACATCCTAAAAAGTACTCCCCAATAAACATACAGGTGAGTTTTTGTGTTAAACTAACTTTTACTCGTGTTTAGTGGGCGCTGAGTTGCATTTCCTTTGCCTGGTGTTGTGCCAAAGTGTGTATCCCCGTCAAATCAGTGACTGTCAAACGAGTTCACATGGGAAGAGATGCCGGGGAGGAAGCGCTAACGTGCTAGCTAACATTAGCCGCTTTTTAGCGCTGAAAGTAGTTATTTGCTGCCGTTTAACAAGAAACGTATTCATCACCGCTTTGGCGCTATTTAGTATCGCTGACTAGTTCATTGAGGGAATACGTTTCTGCAGGGTTTGCTTGTCAGCAGTGCCAGCTAACAGTCACATTGACTAGCCAGCAAACTTAGCTTGCAAGTAGCAGCCGAATACAAGCCACATTTAATTTGAGTCTTCAGAAACCATTGTCAGTATGACTATGTACCAATATCTTAGTTGTTGCTTCATTCCGACACGTAAATGCTTTGATAAATATGTGACTGAGAGAATTGAAATGCTTTTGGAGCATGGTTTGCTTCAAGTTATAACACTTTGATAACTCTTACCATCCACATCACTGCGGTAAACTACTGTGAAGAGTACAGCACGATTTGACATTAATGTACTGCTGTATATATGGGTCCTTACATAATTGGACGACATTTATACATCAAAACTTCTTAACTTCTAGTTTTCTGTTATGTATTTGAGGAAAACATGTAAGAAACCATCACACAAATATTTTTCCTTAACATGCTTATGCTCCCTGGTGCCAATAACAATAAAGGCAATTCATTTAGGAAAATACAGTAAAACAGGTGACGCATGTAGATTATACAAAATGATGTATAGACATTGCATTTTAAGAGAGAAATTTCATTTTAGGGGGTGCTCGAGAGCTATTTGATATTTTAAACAATATTTTGAAGCCACTTTTTCTGCAACTGTATTTCAATTGTTTAAGTATATTTATCATGAGTGCATGTTTTAGCGTTTTGGGCAGGGATCATTTGAAATGTCATAGCTGAGACAGAACATATCCTCCAATTCTGGAATGACCCATATACTGGCAGGTGGTTGGAACAAAATATGGTGTTGTGTGTTACGTGTGACTTTCTCTACTTGTGTAACCGGTAGAAAAGTTGTATTATCCTAGTTTCTTTAAATATGTGTTGTTCTCAGACTTCAGTTGTAAATCCTCGACCGCAGCAGCTGTTTCTTTTCTCTTCCCTTCTCTTGACAGGATCTGACAATAAACAAGTATTATTTGCACCATTTAATGTTACTGCAGTACATACTGCATTTCAACCAATAACAGCAATACATCATTGTTCATTCAGTTGAGTATTATGAGTCATTGCAGTGTTGAGGCGTAGGTGGTAGTACGCAGTAAGATACAGTGTGTGTTAGTGTGCTGTATAACATAGTTGATATTGAGTGTTTGAGAAATTATTCATGATGACTACGGATTTTCCAAAAATGAAGTCCCCATTGGTTTGCTCTCTGAAACACAAACACACAGAATTGTGGAAACATGTAAATGTTTCAATGTAGAAAGTGTACGGACCCAAAAGGACATATTGATAACCCAGAATCCCCTTAATGTAGCGCTTCTGAGAGGAATGCTCTTTATAGTGGTTTGCAATGCACTGACATGGCGCTCTTTTGTTGAACATACAGCAACAGCTGCACTGTGTGTGTGTGTGTGTGTGTGTGTGTGTGTGTGTGTGTGTGTGTGTGTGTGTGTGTGTGTGTGTGTGTGTGTGTGTGTGTGTGTGGTGTGTGTGGTGTGTGTGTGTGTGTGTGTGTGTGTGTGTGTGTGTGTGTGTGTGTGTGTGGTGTGTGTGTGTGTGTGTGTGTGTGTGTGTGTGTGTGTGTGTGTGTGTGTGTGTGTGTGTGTGTGTGTGTGTGTGTGTGTGTGTGTGTGTGTGTGTGTGTTGTGTGTGTGTGTGTGTGTGTGTGTGTGTGTGTGTGTGTGTGTGTGTGTGTGTGTGTGTGTGTGTGTGTGTGTGTGTGTGTGTGTGTGTGTGTGTGTGTGTGTGTGTGTGTGTGTTGCTGAACAATGGCTGTTGTGGAACGTGATCTCTCATGGAAGACGTTGACATGCTTTGCATGTTCTTTGCATGACATAGTTTAGCTGTGCCCCTCAGTATTCACTTTTAGCACCATTCAGACAAGTTAGCGCATGTAGGACTTCATGTAGCCCCAAAAGGAAGATGTGATGTGGCACTTTCCACCACGTATTAACCAGATCTTGTTCTGTTTGACTTGATATCATTACTTCTGCTTTTATATGTCACACGTATGCATAAGACACACCACAGTGATGATAGGCTGTTGAGATAGCTAGACCCTTTTTTATAACGCCTGGAACATGTCTATAGATGTTTCAAACTGAATAATATTGTCGTAAGGACAAGTTGATGCATTGCTTTTGAAAATCTCAGCGATGTTCAAGCAGACAGGTTTCTGGCAATGATTGTCTCCTGATTATCTTAAGTGTGCAGCTAATGTAAACTGGGCAATCAGTTATTGATGTGTGTTGTGTAGCTCTTGTGAGCCATGTTAAAGTTTGAGATGGTGTGCTGAAGAGATGTGGTGCAGCAAATGAGAGAACACAGAAAGAGCAATAGACATGTCAGACTTTACGAATGTATCTTGGCAGGGTCTGAATGCAGCATGTGTGTGTGGCTGAAACACTGATTGAGCATTACTCTGTCAGAGCAGTAGCTGTTAGATTGCAGTTTAAAGTCTCGTCGTTTTGTTCTCTCTCGGTTCAGTGACAGAAAAACAGGATATGGCAACTCACACCCTCTCAAACACTGCCCTTTTTCACATTGTGGTTTTTAACCTGCTGTTGCATTACAGGTTGCCTGAGGCAGTCACAAGGCCTTTTGTGTTGCATCGCAGTGTTTCTTTTGTACTTGTTTAGCACGGCTAGGCTGCCACAAAAAGCTCTGCCACAACCTCTGAAGAAAATGTGATAAGAAGAGACTGCATATATAACCTTAGACACGTTTTTTTCTACACGAGGCAGCAAACTTTAAAGGTCTACAACCGCAGCCCAAAACTGGGCTGAATTGATGTGAAACCTCAAGCATAACTACATGGCAACACATCACCTTTTGGGTTGACTATGTATTGTTATGATCAAAGAAACACTATCCATTTGAAACATGGTTTGCAAGCTACCCTTCTGATGTGTGGAATATGATGACTGCAGCCATTCAAGTCCTATTGCAAAGAGACACCCAGCTACTTAAACGTGTTGCGTTAAAGCCTCACCAGGCTGGAGAAAGGTAACGTGATATTTGCAGTTAAGCTGCTCCCAAACTCCAAATGCCTGCAGCAGCAACAGCAGGTTTCTGTTTGTTAGTCGAACTATGAATCACAAGTTGCTTTGTGACGATAAATGAGAAATCTCAAAGGATTTCCTTCCAGCATTGTGCTCTGTGCCAAGTCCGATATCTGTGAAGAGCTTTTAGCTGAACAAGCAGTGTGAATCCTTAAATCACTTTAGATGCCACCTGCGGTTAGCCTGCCGCGCTGCAAGTCTGTCTCTGGTGCATCCGATCACACGTGTTCGGAGGCGTGTGGCGCAGTGGGTTGTGTGTTGGTGTTCGGATCAGGGTGTCACAGGTTCAAACCCCACTGCAGTCAGCATGTCGTTGTGTCCCTGGGCAAGACACTTCACCCCAAGTTGCTCCTCCACAGTACTGAGTATGTAAGTCGCTTTGGATAAAAGCGTCTAACAAGTGTCATGTCATGTGATGTTCATGTGTGTTCCATTTTGGCCAAGATCAGAGAAACTCCTCCTGTGTTTGTTTATTTAACTGAACACTAAGCATGTCACTGTTGCATTAATTGACACCAAAAATAATGTAACAACCGTTATTTTTTAAATCCCAAGCAAATATGGCAACTGACCTGGACAACGTTTGTCCAAGAAAACAGAAATATCTTCAATAAAATATGTGACGCCTTAATCATCTTGAGTTTGTTTAATTTGTTAGTTAATGGCAATGTGGTGCACATCCTTGAACACTCTCATTACATTTCTTTGACTCAGTATTTCATTCAGACTGGCTAGAAGTCCTTCAGCTCCTCCTATCAGCACTCGGCTCTCCTCCTGTTGTCAATGACTAATCATCCAGTTTACTGTGGAGCAGCAGCCACCGCTGACTCAGCCAACGCTGCCATCTGGGCTTCTCACTGGCTCCAGAGCCTCAGATGCTCAGCTTGTGTGTCCCTGTGAATGGGACAGTAATACAAGTGCAAGAGAGAAATTAACTGTGTACAGTAACATAGATGGAACAAATATTAAAATAAAAAAGTATATCCTCCTTTTTAAGTTTTCAAAAGATATTGCTTTATGACAACATTTTAATCGACAAACATGTCAAGTGCGCTCGGCCTCTCTCCCTCAGCTCGGGGCTCCGTATGGCTGCTGAACTCGGCTAGCGTTAATTAGCGTCGCTGTAGCGGCCAAAATCCTATAGAACTAAAACAGCCGCCGAGGCACTAGTTAGCGGATCTTACGCAGGGCGATGATCATCCAAGTCCAGACAAGAACCTCCATTTGTGCAGTGTTCTCCGTGTGTGCTCCTTGTGAGTGTGTTCTCCGTGTGTGCTCCTTGTGAGTGTGTTCTCCGTGTGTGCTCCTTGTGTGTGTGTTCTCCGTGTGTGCTCCTTGTGAGTGTGTTCTCCGTGTGTGCTCCTTGTGAGTGTGTTCTCCGTGTGTGCTCCTTGTGAGTGTGTTCTCCGTGTGTGCTCCTTGTGAGTGTGTTCTCCGTGTGTGCTCCTTGTGTGTGTGTTCTCCGTGTGTGCTCCTTGTGAGTGTGTTCTCCGTGTGTGCTCCTTGTGAGTGTGTTCTCCGTGTGTGCTCCTTGTGAGTGTGTTCTCCGTGTGTGGTCAAAAACTGTATGGGCCTTCCGGCGGAACCTCTCACCAACACACATAGGTTCCTACCTTTATACCCACAGTTAATTGGCTCATGCAGTCGCCTTTTACTTGCATTTTTGATTCA